GATAGTGACGACGACGACGACGATGAAGATGATGATGATGATGATGATGATGATGATGATGATGATGATGATGATGATGATGATGATGATGATGATGACAACGATTTCGAGGGTCAAGGACAGGTGTTGCTGTAGTTGCAACTGCTGCTGCTTCTTTGCTGCTTACAATGACGAAGAACCCAACAACTATAGAACAAAAATAAAGAGCAGCTACAAAAAAAACAACAACACAAAAACAAAAACAAAACACAAACTAAAGCACAAAACAAAACAAACAGACAAACCAAACAAACAGACAAACAAATAAAAACCGAACCAGCAAACAATAGTCATTGAGTACTGTGTTCTTACCAACTTACAAAACAAGATCACCCATGCCCAGCCCGTGTCAACTGGGTGAAGGGGGCGGGGCTTCTGGTCTGACGTCATCGTCGTAGCCACACCCTGCTCGTCTCCGCCCTCAGTCCAGCTGCTCAGATGTGCTGCTCTTCACGAAGGTGTAATATAGGGAGCTGGGGTGGTGGTGGGGGGCATAGGTCAGGTACATGTATGTTGTTCTCTTTGGGTCTGAGGAAGAAATTAAATAGTGCTCCAGTCATTCTATTACTTAAGAATAAGATAATATAAAGTAAGATAACATAAAATAAGATGAGATGAGAAGAGATGAGATTAAATAAGATGAGATATGAGACGAGACGAGATGAGATAATGAGATACGTTAATAATGAAATGAGAAAAGATGGGATGAAACGAGATGAAATGAGATGAGATGAATAAGATGAGATATGTGACGAGACTTGATGAGATAATGAGATACGAGAGTGTAATGGGATAAGATGACAAGAGAGGGGATGAAATGAGATGAAATGAGATGAGATATGACATAAGATAACATAAGGATAATTCACGCATTCACGTTGCATCGAGTAATGGGAGAAAATCTCCAACTATCATAGACTACAATAGATTAATTATGATCTAAAGTTGGAAGGGGGGGGGGGGATTGGGGAGGTAGGTGATCCTTATCACACTAAACAATATAATTGCGCTCATATATGACCTTATTATGCAGTTGTGAGCGCCGTAAAACCTCTATTAAAAACTAAAAAACAATACATCTGTGATCTTGGTTAGAAGGGTGGGGGGATTAGTTCTTTTCATCACAGTAATCACATTAAATAATAGTAAACAATCTTTCAATATTTGTGATCTGAGTGTTTGGGGA